GAAAGCTGTCTGCTTTATTTATACACAAGCAGTCAAACTCTGGCTCAGACTTTTTACATCAAGGTCAAGTGGGTGTTTCCAAGGATTATTCTGCCATTTGTTTCACTTTAAAGCAGGATGTTATCCATCCTAATCCTGTGGTCAGGAAGTTCTCAATAGGTATTGCCTATCAATCAATAACACATTCCTACTACAATCCTCATCCTATAACTTCGTCTTGAATCAGTTAAGGAAGGAAATACATCACAGACGAGGGAGTTAAAGATCAAGAAAAGAAGGAAGAATAGATTCCCACTACACCTGGGGACTTAACACCTTGATTAGCATAAGGTCAATGGGGGCAGCAATAATAAAAGGCCCTTTTGCTAAAATGGTATCAGCAGCATCAACTTCCAAGCTCACATTGATAGTAAAAACCAACTCCACAGTTGCAAACAATGTCTAAATAGATTACAGAAATCCCAGCAGAGTTAGAGACATCTGCTGGGCCCTGCCATGCAGCGGGAAATTCCTTGCGGCCCTGCCTGCAGTGGAACAATACTCTTCACACCTTCCTGTCTTCCACACCCAGCACAGGGGACCCCAGCACTGCTCCACTTCCCATCCAGCTCTCTGCTTTGTGGCCTGGAAAGGCAGCAGAAGATGACTCAAATCCTTGGGATCCTATACCTCCCGGAAGAAGCTCCTGGTTCAGCTCCGGCTGTTGCAGCCGTTTGGTGAGTAAAGTAGCAGATGGATGATCTTTTTCTGTCTCTCCTTCTCTCTGTAGACCTACCTTCCCAATAAAAATAATAAATAAATCTAAAAAAGTCAAGTTCTTGTCATGGGCTGCCAGGCCCCGGAGGAGTGGGCTCCTTGTTTAAAGTTCCCCAACCCCAACTCAGCCCCACCCCTCAGGCTACAGTGGTCCTCTTTCTTCAAACAGCACTTGTATTTATCTATTTTTATTGGAAAGGCAGATACACAGAGAGAAGACGATATAGATAAAAAACCTTTCATCTGCTGGTCCACAACAACCAGAGCTAAGCCAATCTGAAGCCAGGAGCCAGGAGCTTCTTCTGGGTCTCCCATGCAGGTGCAGGGTCCTAAGGCTTTGGGCCATCCTTGACTGCTTTCCCAGACCACAGGCAGGAAACTGGATGGGAAGTGGAGCAGCCGGTACATGAACCAACTCCCATATGGGATCCCAGTGAGAGCAAGGCAAGGACTTTGGCTGCTAGGCTATTGTGCTGGGCCCCTAACAGCACTTTTGCAAGCTCCTTCCCCACCACTGAGCTGCACAAGCTGGCTTCTCTAGCTGCAGGGCTTCCCCCACGTTCTTCCAATGTGCCTCTTCACATTCAAATCAGGGTTTGCTGTATCTCCAGGGCCTTTCCTCTATCCTATCACTTGCTTATTTCTTTGATTGTGCTAGCACAATGAAAATTATCTCCTCCATTCCCTTGTCATCACACCCAACTGACAATATCAGCTTTGTGTTCCTCACCACCCTGCATTCGTTAACAGCTGGTGCATAGCAAACCGTGGACTCACTGGGACTACCTGTTCAGATGAACCAAATCCATCAGCATTCCAGATGGAGAATGGATCTGGAATTCCTTCCTCGGAATGTTGAGACATTGCTTCTTCTTTCCAGAAGGTGGCACCCAAAGCACACCTGGTCTCAGCAGAGGTGGGCGGGGGTTGTGGGGGCGAGGGGGCTGGTCTACCACAGACAGCTGGGCAGAGTAGGAAGACACAAGTTTGGTTGTGGCAATGCTGGATCCAAGTGAGGAGAGAGTCGAGATGGCGCCTCTCCCAAAAGACAGGCAAGCGTGCTCTGAGCACAAGGGCCTGGATGGATAACCAATGATTCACTTTCAGTTCCCACGTGGCTTTTTCTTTCCCTACTTGTCCTGCTAGCAGATCATTCTTGAGAAAACAGCAGGGGAGATGGGGGCTTGGAAGAGAAGAGCAGGATTCTGGCAAGAGGCAATGGCTTTCTGCTCTAACCTCTGCCCTCCAACCCCCACCTACAGAACTTTGGGGGAAACTGAGACTCAGATAGAAGCTTCCTTAGTGGGCCAGGGAGAACTGGGTCAAGCTCCCTCTAATCAGAGCTTACATTCATTCAGCTTCCCTGCCCTATCCCATGATGCCTAGACCCTGGGCTGGCTGTGGGAGGCATGATGGAGGAGGCCATGCATCCTCAGAGCAGTCCTGAAGACGGAAAGGGCAGGAGCTGACACCTGGGTGAGGGTCTGCCAGGTGGAGCTGATAGTGCCTGGGGCCAGGCAGGTGGCCCGCAGCAAGGACTGCATCTGGATCTGGGGTAAGGGAAATGAGCAGAGGTCTCAGGCTTCCTCCTGAAGGCCATGCAAAAGGGTTCTCAAACAGCAGAGCCTCGGGTTGGGGATGGTGCAGACAAGGAAATCGGGCAGGTAGGGGGTTGGTGTAACTACCCCTTAGAGCATACCAAGGCCTGGGAAGTGAGCGTTGGGATGGAAAAGAGCCTGATTGGTTTAGGAAATGTTAGCTATTCTGTTTGAAAAGATTCATTCATTTATTTACTTGAAAGGTAAAATAACAGCAAGGGAAGAAGTGTACCTGCCGATTCATGCCCAGAATGGCAGCAGTAGCTGGAGTTAGGCCATGATGGAGCCCAAAACTCCATTTGAGTCTCCTGTGAGGGTAGCAGAGGCCTAAGTAACTATGTCACCTTCCACTGCCTTTTCAGATACATTAGCAAGGAGATGGATGGGAAGTGGAGCAGCCTGGACTGGAACCAACACACTGATATGGGATGCTGGCATTCTAGGTCCTTCAACACAGGACTTAGCCGTTACTAATTCAAACAGGGTCAGGGCTGGGGAAATGCATGAGTGGGCCTGCTGAAATACCACCTCAGAGTGGCCGAGTCCCAGTACAGAGTGGACCCCAGACTCCTGCCTCGCCCAGAGGGTGGCAGCAGTTGCTGAGCCTGGCTTAGCAGAAGCAAAACTATAGGTTCACGTAGCAGCCAATGGCAGAGGTGAAGGCCTGGGAGCCAGACAGTCCTGATTCAATTATCAACCCCTCTACTTCCTGTCTGATGACCTTGGATAAGCTGACTTCCCTGTGCTTTCCAGTTCTTATCTCTCAATGGGGATAATGATAGCACCTTCCTCGTAGGGAAGTTGGGAAAGCCAATGAGGTTAAGGTGCAATGAACCTTTATGGAATACACTAAGGCTACGTGGCCAAGCTGCAGCTGTAAAAGCCAAGCCAGAAGAATCTCAGGGCTCCTCCCTTCTGCCAAACAGCAAGGCGGGACAGCTCACTCCAGGTTCAGCTGCGTTTGCTTTCCTGTGAATTCTGGGGTTCGATACAAGTGAAGAGCCGCCTTGGGCAAACTAGTGCAACCACAGGAACGTTGAGAGCACTTATCCTGTGGACAGGTGCTGCAGGGCAGGCCTTGCCCACCACCTACCAGCACACCAGTTTGTCCTCACACCATGTAGAATCTCCCCTTGCCTGACATAGCTGGCCAGCCATAGCTTCCGGCCCACAGTCAGCATGCACTGCTTAGACCAAAAAAAAAAAAAAAAAATCACAGGCCCCAGTCCCACCATGGGCCCCAACCCAGCCAGCCCCACGTGCTCAGGCACACACAGACAGGCACGGGCAGGGCCATGGCTCTTTGCCAGTCCCTGGGTCTTTGTCAGACCCAGCGTGTGACACATGACAGTTGAGGAACTGGAGCCTTGCAGGTCTTGGAACAAAAATCCTGTTAGGTCTCTTGGACATGTGACTTGGTCTCTCTACTTTGGAGCTTGGTTTTCTTTTTTTAGAAGCTTTCATTGGGTTGGTGGTATGACATAGTAAGTAAAACCACCACCCATAACCCTGGCATTCCCCATCAGCTGGAGTCCTAGCTGTACCCCTTCTGAACCAACTCCCTGCTAATGGCCTGGGAAAAGCAGCAGTAGATGGCCCAAGTACTTGGGGCTCTGCACCCACAAGACCGACCTCAGTGAAGCTCTTAGCTCCTGGATTCAGCCAGGCTCAGCTCTGAGCATTGTAATCACTTGGGGAATGAACCAGCAGACAGAAGATATATCTCTCTCACTCTCTCCCTCAGTAACTCTTTCAAATAAATAAATTTTTATTTTGAAAAACTTTTTATTTATTTGGGCCCAGCATGATGGCCTAGGGCTGAATCCTTGCCTTACATGGGCCAGGATCCCATGTGGGCACCAGTTCATATCCTGGCTGCTCCACTTCCCTTCCAGCTCCCTGCTTGTGGCCTGGGAAAGCAGTCGAGGACAGCCTTGGGACCCTGTGCCCACATGGGAGATGCAGAAGCTCCTGGCTGAAGAACTCAGCTGCAGCTGTTGTGTTTACTTGGAGAGCAGACTGACACATGGAGGATCTTTCTGTCTCTCTTTTCTGTGTGTCTGCTTTTCCAAGAAAAATTTAAAAGTAAAGTTTTTATTTATTTGAAAGACAGACACAATGATACAGAGAGCTCTTCCATCTGTTGGCTCACTCCCAGATGCCCACAACAGCTGGGGTTTGGCCAGCCCCAAGCCAAGAGCCCAGAGTTCATGTTGGGTCTCGTATGTGTGGCTCAGGCAGACTTGAGAATCTGAGCCATTACCTGCTCTTCTCAGCACTGGATCCAAAGCAGAGCTGGGCCTCAACAGCAAACATGGATGTGGGATCCAGGTGTGGCTGCTGGCACGTTAACCACGGTGCCAAAAGTCCAACCCTGAAGCTGTTTTCTTGTTCTTCAAATAGGGACACAATCTGACTTGGCACCATGATTCCAAGAATTGAATGAGAATACAAGCAAAGTGACACTGCAGCCAATGCTGGGTCCTATGGAGGTACTCAACAAGGGTTGGCTGGGGGCCCTTCCCCAGCCTCAGGATGTGCCCAGCCCAGCCAGCAACACCTCTGCTCCATCCCCCTCCCCCTAGCAGTCTTGACAAGGGATTGGGATAGGGGTGGGGGAAACACAGACACACACGGCTCTGTTTCCAGCTTTTATGAAAATTAATAACATTAATAGCTCAGACATATACAGATACATATGGCTATGTACACAGTCATTAAGTTATTCATTAGTCTCTGTATAAAACCTGTTTATATTAGTGTTCCGGGCCAAGCCCGAGCAGTCCAGTCCTTGGCATATTCACAGTAGCAGCCCTGGGGCTTGGCCCTGAGGGTGGGTGGAGGGGGGCAGCCACTGACTGCCCCTTGGGGAGCTCAGCAGGAGGCATCCTGGGGCCCCCACTCACTGGCTCTGGCTCTGGAGTCGTCTGTTCCCTTCCTGGCACCTGCAGGCCAGCTGCTCAGAGTGTGCAAACAGGTGACTGGTCCCTTGTGTGGCCTGTGGACCCAGGCCTTCTGCATGGTGGCCCCAAGGCCACCAGGAGGCCCTACAGGATGCTGGCCAGCTCTGTGGAGTCTGTGTCAGAGCAACCGGAGCTGCTGGCTTCTTCCCTGTAAGAGCCCAGCAGAGACAGTTTGAAGGAAGCGCCCAGACCCCACTCCACCCCACCCCTGCACCTGCTTCCTCTGGCACCCCACCCCCTCCTGCAGCAGAGTTAGCTGCTGGCGGAGGCAAAACCACAGGACATCCGTGGTTGACTAACTCCTCCATTGTAGCCTAGACCCCGCAGGCCACAACAAGCCCTGGAACCACACGTGCTGGCCCCGGGCTGGCTGCTGGGGCTGGCGTGAGGAGTCACTCCACCATGCCCTGCTCTCCCGGAAGGCAGGGCTCAGGCCACCCCCACAGTCCTGTGTGCCAGGAGAGCAGCGGCAGTGCAGGCCTCATGGTGAGAACAGCAGGTGCTGGGCCCAGCTTCTCCCAGCCAACCAGGCTCTCACCCTTGCTAGCTAGACCTCAGCTCCCTCATCTACACAGTGTGGGACTCCAGGGGACCTCCCCAAGGTCCTGTCTCCACCCAACCTCCCAGGGACACTTCAGTGCATTCCCCCAGGGGAAGGTCTAGGTCAGAAGGCGGGGCTGAGTGCTGGCCTGAGGCCTAGGTGTTACACCACAGCGAGCCTGGGCCCCTCCAGCTTCTGGGTCTATGCTGTGGGGCCCCTGAAGCCTCCAGAATTGTGAGCTAAAGAACTAAACCTCTTCTCTACCAAGCAGCCACTCTTATGGGTTACAGCCATGCAAAATGCACTACAGTGTTCTAGGAAGGCAGCGGGGTCTCATCTGTTCTGTTCGCAGGAGCAAGGCACCTGCCACATGTGTGCCAAATGAAGAAGCCTCAGCTTCTGTGCACACACAGCCTGGCATGGAGATAAGCAATGAGGCTGGTGAGGGAAGACCTGCACGATGTCAGTCTAGACTGGGCAGTCGGGGTGGGCCACCATGGAGGGGCCTGAGCCAATGAGCCACCCTTCCACCCTTCCACCCCCGGGCGCTCTCACCTCAGAGCCTGCAGCGCCTTCTTGTTCTGCCGCCGCCGCTCCTCGTCAATGGGGTACAGCTTGAAAAGCAGCAGGCCCAGGAGGATGAGAGCTATGGGGGCCATGGTCACCAGCATCTTCAGTGTAAACTTGACACTCTTTGGCTGAGAGCAGCCTCGGGTCTGGTACCCGGCAAAGCTGTAGGGGAGGGGAGAGTGGGGGAGCAGTGAGGCTCTGAATAGGATTGGAGCTCACGGGAGGTCCAGCCCCATGCTGGGCAGTGCCCCCACTCACTCGAGGCTCAGGGTGGAGATACCCAGTGACACTCCAGAGGCAAACTTAGTGAAGAAGACATAGAAAGAGAAGAAGATAGGCTCGGTGCCTTGGGAGTGCTGTGGCAGCTTCAGGTGGAAGTCGTCGATGACGTCAGGCAGCATGGACCTGAGTGGGAGGAACCATGAGAACCCTGTCCCGCTCCCCATACTCTCAGGCTTCCCTCTGCCCACCCCTGTTGCCCAGTTCACAACCTTTACAACCATACAGGGCATACCCTCCTTAGCCCCAACCTGCACCTGCAGCAGGGCCTGTGAGGGAAGTCTCCCTAAAGCTGTCCCCCCAAAGAGCTTAAGAGTTGACAAAGCAGGGCACTGGGGGGGCGGATAGTAAGCCCAGGTGGGCCTGCGGCTACCTACCAAGGTAGTAAGAAGGCAGCTGCCACGCTGACACCAGCTGCCACGGCCACCACGTAGGTGATGATAAGGTTACTCTTCATGAGGGCTATCAAGATGAGAAACGGCACTGCCGACTAGGAGAGGGAGAAGGGGAAGATAGCTTGGCAGGCAGACTCACTGTTTAACCCCCACCTCACCTCGGGTCCTGCCCTTCCACCTCACTCACCGAGATCCCGACATACACAGCCATCTTCTTGCCAAACCGGGTTAGGAACCACTGCCAGATGGGGATGGTGAATGTGGCCGAGAGCTGTGGAAGGACAGGGAGGCTAAGAAAGGCAGATCCGGGGCACAGGATCCAACCCCACCCTTTCCCTATCTTCCCCAGGAGCCCCAAGGTGTTCTCAGCTCGAGCCAACAGCCAGATCACACCCTCTGGGTGTGTCCCTTGTCTCCTTAGGGGAGCTGGGGCGTCTGCCTGGCCCTGCCCTCCCACACCTCTGAGGCTCGCAGTTGCACAAGGTTCTCCAGACCTTTGCTCTCAACCTGAACATCCGACCCCAAACTCCTCCTTTCCCACTCTCCCTGTGCCCTAGGGAGCTCAGGCCCAATCTCACGCTTCCAGGACGTGAGCCAATCTGGGAATCAGCCTGACTCTCCCAAGAACCAGCCCCTGGACCAGCCCCCCACAGCTGCCCACTGCCCCTGGGGCCCTGCACGCACCATGATGGCCAGGAGTAGGTTTTGGAATTCATTGCGGAAGCCCAGGGTGTAGGTGCAAAACAAGGCAAAGTTGCCCTCCACCAGCTGAGGATGCACAGGACAGGAGATGCAAGAGGTGACTTGGGGTAGTGCCTCCCACTCCCTTCCCCCCTTCCTCCACCTCACTCCCTTTCCATCACACATGCTCTGCCCCCTGAGGCAGGGCACCTTGCCCCCCCTCCCCAGCCCCCCACTTACCATGAAAGCCAGGGAGGTAAAGAGGAAGCCGGCAATCAGTTTGACGTAGGGGCCATGGCTCATGACCAGTCGGAGGCCCCGGAAGAAGGACATTGGTTCCGTCTGCTGGGCCTCATAGGGTTCTGGGGATGAGAAGGGACAGTGAGAAGCGAGCAGAGGTCCTTCCCCAAGCCTGTAGGCCAGGCAGAAAAACAGGCACTCCAGCACCCCCTTACCTCTCTGTTCCCGCACACCCAGGACTAGGATGACAGCACAGACAATATAGATGGAGGCGATGACTCCTGCTGCCAGCAGGTACGCATTTTGCTATGGAAAAAAAAGGTGCAAGTGACAGAGAGGGTCAGTCAGCTGCCATCCTAGCAGCCCCACTCTCTGAACTTGGGCTAGGGTCTGCTCCATCTGGGAAGTGGGAGACCCATCCTGGTTCGGCTGCTGTTTCCCAAGGCTGGGCAAAGTTTAGAGGGCCAAAATGCCAAGCCAGGCGGTGGAGCGTGATGGGCTGTGGGGCAAATCCTCCCCCAGATATCTGCATTTCTCTAGTTCCGAAACCCTGGGAAAATCACTCAGGCCCTTCTTACATGCAAAGTGGACGGCAGGGGCACACAGGGTGACAGGATGACAAACGCCCACCAAGCACAGGTATGAACTAGCGTCACTCTCTTTAGGACGGGACCGCCTCGTTCCTCGTCTCCCCCAGTCCCTGCCCTGCCAGGGGCCTCACCGTTTCTTTGAGCGAGGTGGAGCTGTGTGTCCGATTGGCACTTTCCAAGGCCACTGCAGAGCCATTGGGCTCCTGGAGACAAGGTGCATTCACTTGGCCCACAATTTGCCCCTGGATGGCTGTGCCCAGCACTGTGCCCAACACCTCCACTGTCATCCCTGGGCAATGAAAAGGAGGTCTTTTGGAGGAGCCTCATGGCCTGTGGACCCAGGGAGAAAGGCTGGACGTGCGAGAGCCCAGCTCCAGCTCCAGGTAGGTGGGACAGACGCCACCACGGCCTGAACTTGTGGCCTTGTTCTGTGTGACCTCTGGTTAGTCCCTGCACCTCTCTGGTTCTCACCTGAGCAACACAAGGGTTTGTGCTCTTTTTGTTGTTGCTGTTTCAAGACTGTTTCACACACCCGCACCTCAGAGCAGAGCAAAGAGCTGGGTCCCCAAGAAAAGAAACAAGGCAGGGGGGTCCAGGAGAGGAGGGGCTCAGGGTATGTGGCGAGTGGGATTGGGTGGGCTGGGGGAGACTTACGGTAAGCAGTGGCTGAATCCCGCTCATTCTGCTCCGTGCTGATGAACATGGTGAGAGCTGAGTAGGGGACGTGGAAACACTGGTGCAGGAGAGAAGCCATGGGCTAGTTAGACGGACACTGGCTCAGGAGCCAACCACGAGGCCCAGGGGACTGCCCTCGCCCCTGCCCCCAGAGATAGGCAGGGAAGGGGCCCACACTCACCGTGACCAGTGTCTCAAAGAGGCAATAGAAAAGCAGGTACCAAAGGGTCTGGCCCTGTGGGAAGTCGGGCACGAACCAGATGAGGCAGTAGGCAATGATGGCCAAGGGCGTGGAGAAGATGATCCTGGAGAAGGTTTGGGTCTGAGTGGAGGCTGGGGGCCAGGACTCTGGAAGCCAGGCCCAGCAGGACTGCCCTGCTCCCCTGGGTGCCCATCAGAGGGATGAACCCCCCTTGAGTCCACCTCCTACCCTACCCTCACCCTCTGGGAAGAAACTCCTGGTTCAGCTTAGAAGGGCAGATCGGTCCTGACTCTTGTACTGAAATCTTAAATGTGGAGGCTGAGGAGCCAGCCCTGGGGGTCTCCTCCACATCTTCCATGGGGCTCCACAGGCAGAGCAGGGACTTCCTGTGGGCTGGTGGGTAGGGGATGAGTTTGGGGTCCCAGGCTTTATGTGGTAGGGCAAGGGGGTCTGGACATTGGAGCAAGGCAAATACATTCTCACATCTGCACATGCCCCACCTGCAGCACACACATGTGGACATACACTGAAAGAGGCTGGGGTGGAGTGGGGGAAGGGCAGGGGAAGGCAGCTTGAGGTGCAGAATGATGGAGGAGCCAGGTGGGAGGATTGGCCCCAGTGAGGTATCTGTCCAGGTGCCAAATGTCTGCCTCCCATGTGTGTGGCCCACAACACCATGAGCAGTTAGACCTCCGGGGAGCAAGGCTTTTTGAGTAACAATTCAGACATCCAGTTCTGGCTCTGCCAACTAGGACTCACTTAGTCCTGGGCAAGATTGAACTTCTCTGAGGCTTATTTCCACTCCATAAAATGTGAATTGTGATAGCACATACCTTACGTCCCATGCTTACTCAAGAAAAATGTCTTTTCATCTTCTAGCCACTTAGGACATAGCCACGAGCAAAGCAGAAAAAACAAAAACAAACAAAACACTGCCTGGGTGGACCTTTTACATTCAGGCTGGCCAACAGAAAAAAAAAAATAACCAGAACTTAAGTTGCATTAGAGGGACTGGTGCTGTGGTGTAGAGGGTGAAGCTGCCACCTGCAACAGCAGCATCCCACATGTACACTGGCTGGAGTCCCAACAGCTCCACTTCTGATCCAGCTCCTGCCACCTACACGAGAGACCCAGAAGAATCTCCTGGTTTCTACCTGCCGTTGCAACCATTTGGGGAGTGAACCAATCTCTCTCTCCCTAACGCTGCCTTTAAAATAGATAAAATAAACTAAACCTTTAAAAGAGAGAAACACAGAGAGACAGATCATTCAGCCTTAAGAAAGAAACTATGCCTGCCCCAACCTGGATAATCCTGGAGGCTGTCATGCTGCATTAAATAAGCCAAACAGAAAAGACAAAAGTTGAATGAATTCACCTGCTAAGGTCCCGAGAGCAGTCAGTTCATAAAGACAGAGTGAAATGGTTGCTTGGAGCTGGTGTTGGGGGAGGAATGCAGAGTTTCAGTTTGGGCATAGCAAATTACACCACCAACTGCGATGCTGGCATCATACATGGATGCTGGTTTGTGTCCAAGGAGCTTCATTTTCAATTCAACTCCCTATCAATGTGCCTGGGAAAACAGAAGATGACCCAAGCGCTTGGATCCTGCCACCGTGTGGGAGATCCAGAAGAAGCTTCTGGCTCTCGGCTACTGCCTGGCCCAGCCATCACAGTCACTTGGGGAATGAACCAGCAAATGGAAGATCTTTCTCTGTGTGTCTCTCTATATATAACTGTGCCTTTCAAATAAACAAATAAATCTTTCAAAAATATACTTATTTGAAAGACAGAGAGCTTTCTTATCCACAGGCCTTATCCCCAAATGCTTGCAATATCCCAAAGCTGGATGGGATGCATCCCAGCTGGGAGCTGGGAACTTAGTTCAGGTCTCCTACGTGGGTGCTAAGAATTCAATTACTCAAGTCACAAATGCCTGGCTTTGGACCTGATCCTAGCTTGCTGTTCACATACTCCATGAGAGGAAGCAGTGATGGCTCAGGGTTGGGGCCCTGCCACCCACGTGGGAGACCACTGCCTCCCAGGGTTTGCCACAGCAAGCAGCTGGAGTCAGAAGGCAGAGCCAGACAGCAAATCCAAGCACTCTAGGTGGGGTCCAAGTATCCAATTTCTAATCACCAGGCCAAATGCCCACCACAATGTATATCATAGCTTAAAAACAAAAAGTTTATTTATTTTAGAGACAAAGAGACAGAGACAGAGCACTCTTGTCTGCTAGTTCACTCCCTCAAATGCCCACAATGGGCAGTGCCAGCCGAGACTGGGCCAGGCTAAAGTCAAGTCTCCCACATGGGTGGCAGGGCCCTAACTCTGAGTCATCACTGCTTCCTCTCATGGAGTATGTGAACAGGAAGCTAGAATCAGGTCCAAAGCCAGGCATTTGTGTATGATACATGAGCATCTTAATTACTAGACCAATATGTGCCACTTAGGTTTTTTTTTTATTAAGTTATATAACATGTTAGAAGCTAATACATGCTATAGAGAATAAATAATACAGAGGATTAGAAATGAAAATAGGGGCCCGGTCCTTGTCTTGCACATGCCAGGATCCTATATGGGCGCCGGTTCTAATCCTGGCAGCCCCACTTCCCATCCAGATCCCTGCTTGTGGCCTGGAAAAGCAGCTGAGGACAACCCAAAGCTTTGGGACCCTGCACTCACGTGGGAGACCTAGAAGGGGCTCCTGGCTCCTGGCTTCGGATCTGCACAGCTCTGGCCATTGTGGCCACTTGGGGAGTGAATCAACGGGCAGAAGATCTTCCTCTCTGTATATCTGACTTTCCAATAAATAAATCAATCTTTAAAAAAAAAAAAAAGAAATGAGTAAACTTCACGTCTGGGTGGAAAAGGTGGACCACACCAAGAAGGTGGTGACTGCTAACCTTGGATTAGAAGAGGATATGGGCCTTGCAAATAAACATTTCAGGCAAGAGTATGTGGGCAAGAGGGATGGTCAGTGCAAAGGCCCTGAGGCAGATGCATGCCCAGAAGGTCGCAAGAATAGAAAGGCCAGGGGGCTGGAACGCAATGAGCAAGGGAGATGGAATTAGGAGATGAAGTGAGAGAGGAAACGGGACACCCCAGGGGCCATGGGAAGGACTTAATTCCTGCTTTGCAGGGGAGAAGTACTTCTGAGACGTCAGCAGCCTTCCGGATGTTGAAAAGTACTTAGGATACTGAGTACTGCTACAACACTCATATCAGGAGAGCTCACGTCAGGGCAGCTGGCCTGCAGGTAGGTGGGACAGGACCTGGCCAGGACGACTGTAAAAACAGCAGCCAGAAAGCAGGCCAGCTAAAGTGTGGCTTGCTGGGAGCCCAGTGTTACATCCTGGCCCTCGCAGGCGGAAGTGGAACGTGGGAGCTCCAGGGAGGGTGACCATTTCAGTCCCCCGGTTTGAAGCAGCAGGTTTAAATGCAGACTCAGAAAGAGAGACTGCCTTGTGGGGGACAGCAGAGAGGTCACTAGGGTCATTGCCATTAGGCCAGCCTCTTCACATGCTGAGAGAAAAGGCATGCTGGGTCCCAGACCTGGGAAGGGGCCCAGGTCTTAAGGGAAGTGAGGAAGAAGATGGATTGGGGTGGTCAGTAACACCCCAGTTCTCAACAACCATCAGTGTGTGCTGAGACACAGAGACCACCAGTCAGGCAAAGATGAGTGACAGACACCTGCCAACTCCCACAATGGCCTCAAAGCCCCCAGCCACTTCCCCAAGCTGGCTGCCACACCTGTCTGGGAAGTCCTTGGGATCCTCCAGCAAGCCAACACGGAGGGCTTCCTTGGCACTCCTCACTGCCCTGCTCCCCACCTCCCCAGAGAGCCAGGATCCCTGGCAATCTTGGCCACAGACTCTTTCCTCTGCCATAGGCAACTGAACAGTGCCCACACTGCTACCCAGAGAAACCCGAAGTGACAAGGGGCGGAATCGGCTGCTACTACTGCTGTGTAGGGTTGGCCCAGGAGCTGCCTCCCATTGGCCGAGTTTCATGAGGAGATGTGGCAGCAGGCCCTGCCTTCTAGCAGCTGCCAGGGAGGTTGGCAAAGGTCCAAGATCAGGGCTGGCACTCAGGGAGCCCTGAGCAGCCTGGCCAGGTAAAGCAGGCCACCCTGCCCCTGGCCCTGAAGCCAGGATCAAAGGCTACAACCTGGGCTTTGGCCAGGGGCTGGCAGGATCGTGGTGGGTGGGTGGGTGGGGGCTCGTGGGAAAGGAAGCTGCAGAGGAGCAAGGGCGGCGGGAAGAGCTTTGAAGGCCGGAGACCAGGTAGGGACGCCCCCGGGGCAGGAAGGCGCCCACTAGGGCCTGGATGGGCTGGAGATGAAAGGGGCACAGCAGCCCCCCCAACCCCAAGCAGGATGTCCTGGGGGAAACCAGAACCCCGCCTGATAGCCTGTGCCATGTGCCCCCCCCCCCCCGGCCTTCTGTCTGATCTAGGGCGCCCCCAGCGATCCCAAAGCCTGTGGCTGAGCAATGCTGGCTTGGCACAAAGGGCAAACAGAGTTCAGGGCGTCCATGGCGCCAGAGGTGACCCCATTCCAGGGACTACCCCAGCCCCTGCCCCCCAGGACATACCCTGAAGGGAAGCCAAATTATATACTACCTAAAGGGTGCCAGGCACTGCTTTCAGTACTTGACACATCCAGAAAACTCGTCCTCACCGCAAGTCCATAATCACTATCTACATTTTACACACGAAGACACTTAAGGCTCAGAAACACTAAGTGGCTTGCCCAAGGTGGCCCAGCTGTAAGGAATGAAGATGTGATTCCAAGCAGCTCCATGGGGCAACCACTCAACTGCTAAGTGGGAATTCTAGCTAGGAGCAGGGAGAGAACCTCGGGGAGCAGTGGGACCTAGACAGATCTCAACACTGCCCCTCTAACCCAGGGCTTTGGCATCATTCCATCAGAAACTCACTCTCCCTTCACCCTGAGACAAGCCAGATGGAAGGACCAGAGGGTGAAGACACCAGAAGTCCCACCTCCAGCTGCCCCGAAGCAGCCACTTCCACTCACCAGGGCATGAGGCGGCCCATGCGGGTCCAGGAGGATTTGCTGATACAGAAGCCCACCAGAGGGTCGGTGACGGCATCCCAGGCCCGGCCCATAAACAAGATGATGGAGGCTGATACAGGGTCCACCTGAGGGGCAAAAGAGAACTCCCTCATCCTTCCACTCCCTCAACGCGCCCTGGCAGGCACAAGCCTGTGGCTTGCGAAGAGAATTGGTGGCATTTCTCCGCTCACTGCAGCCCTGCCCGCATACTATGAAGCTTTCCCAGATCTCTGTCCTCGCTTCCTCCCTTCCACCACCCTGGAAAACATCCCCATCAATTAGAATGAACCCAAAATCACTTCCTTCCCTCCCTCTCTCCATCCTCACCATCTGATAACACAGTTGGCACCCACATGGGCTTCTATTTCCCCACCTGTAGAATGGAAGTGATGAGCGCTCTTAGAGTAGAGCTCCATCTTGGATGCAGAAAAAGGGGTCTCTCGATGCTTTGCAGCAAGTGGCCTGTTGCCACCCACTTTAGCTCCTTCCCTAGTGTTCTTCCAACCCCAAAGTGTCCCTCCACCAAGGCCTTGTTACTCCCTAGGACATTAGCAGACTGTCCCACACTGCTGTGTCCCCAATCTAACCCCTCCCCCAAACTCACTAAAACAGTTTCCACTTTGACTACAGCTCCTCATATTTCACTCCTCTCAGGGACCAGCTCATGGGAGTCACTGCTGAATGAGGCCATTTGTCCTCTCTGGGCTCACTGTCCCCCACCTGCAAGTGGATACAACCAAGGCGGCCTGCTTACCAGTCACTTGCTACATAGAAAAGATGGCTTGAGCCAAAGCCCTGGTAGCCATGGCTACACAGCCTCCCACTCCCCCATCCAGACAGGGCAAATTCTCGGGATGCCAGGCTGCTGGCCAAGGCATCCCAAAGTACAGAGTAGCCCTGAGCAGCCACCCCTGGGCCGCAGGATCCCTTAGCCCCGCTACCCACCAACAGGTCTCTGTTCTGCAGGTGAGGGTGAGATCCACCTCCACCATGTCCCCGAAACTTGAGCCAGGCTGGCTGATGGTTTCCCAGTCAGGGACACGGTGTGCCAGCCTCTTGTAAGCTCAGCATCACTTATGAGTCCCAGGCTCCCCTCCTCGGGAGCAGTGCCTCCTGCGAGAACCAGCACACCCTTCCACATCCTTCCAGCACAGACACCCAGGACTCAGACTGTTCTGCAGGAAGCTTCCCCTAGCCCTCTTTTCTCACTCGCTGCAATGCTGAGGGACAATAGAGTCAGGACTCCTGGTTCCATTTCCCAGATGGGGTGAACTGAAGGAACCCACTCATCTATCCCAACCCCTCCTCCAGGCTGCCTAGTCTCTCTCGTCCTGGCATGCCGGGGGAGGCCCAGAAGGCTTGAGACACTCACCTGAGCCACATCCAACAGGTATATCTGCAGGAAGAAGCCCAGGGCACAGCCTGTCACCTGGTAAGGGGCCCCTCCAACTGCATAGCAGAGCTTGTTGCAAACGGATAGTTGTTGCTGCTTCTGCTGCTGTTTCTGCTGCTGCTTCTTGGGTTCCTTCTGGGAAGAGAAGGAAGTGAGAAGAGGACCAACCTGAAGGACCCAGAGGCAGGACTAGCCCTCTGGCAAACACTGTAAGTTCCCACTCCCCATGGGAAAGGAGAAAGGCAACAGCATTCTTTGTCCTTGGGAACCGGGACAGGGGTCTTCAACATCCCCTTCTCCCCCTCCCCCATCAAGCTGCTGCTAAAAGACACTCCTCTCCCCACCCCCACCCCCCAACTCTGAGAAAATGGGTCAGCCCTCCCAAGAACAAGCTCCAGGCTCCGGAGGCAGCAGCAGCGGACCTGTCCCCACCCGGCACCAGCTGCCACAACCTGAAAAAAGCCTCTTGCTGCCAAGAGCGCCCCGAGCCCAGCCCAAACTCCTGCCCCGCCTCAGCCGCGGCAGGGACCCACTTGCCCGTGGGGGAGAACTCCGGGGAGCTGCAAGGAGCTCGGCTCGGCTGGGGGGGGGCGGGGCACAGCTGTTCCTTCCATCTGTCCCAGTGTGCCCTGAGCCCCAGAGGCAGCTCCTACCTCTCTGATTCCCTGTGTGCCCATACCCGCCCCCCTCCAGCTCCCAGGGGACCTTGGAGAGGCAAGGAAAGGTACTCCACGTGCCGGTTTGGGCCCTTTCCGGGTGGGGCACCAAGGAGGCTTGGGTTGCTTAGAGGAAGCAGAGATTACTCATACATAGTAATTGTTCACCCTCGGTTCCCTCTAGAATCAGTTAATAAAATGAAAGGGGAAAAAAGTGATCACCTCCCAAGAAGTCAGCTATTGCCTGTGCTCCGAGTGGAGGGGGGGGGGGGAAAGAATGGGGCCGGTGGGCATGACGCACGCCTGAGAACACCCAGACACATAACCGCACACACACAGACAGGCACGCTCGCACGCACGCACGCACGCACGCGGCTTGGTGAAAGCGGCTCCTTTAAGAGCAAGAGCCCTTGTTCTTATGAATGAACTTGAGTGGCCCCCGCCGTGGAGTCGAGGCGCGAGGGTAGGCGAGTCGGGGTAGGGGTGGGCGCGAGAGAAGGGGTACAGAGGGGGATTTTCCAGCTCTCTCGGGGCGGCCAGCACCAAAGAAGCGGTCGGCTAGACCGAGCTGGGCACCACATGGGATTGCCGGCGGAGCCCGGGTGAGCTAAAGGAGGCGCCACAAACCGCCTCCATCCCTGCCTGTGTTCTGGGGCTCCCCCAGCTACCCATCCCGTCCCCACTGTTCCCGTCCCACGGCAGCCTGCCCTCACCCTCGCCTCGGGGTGCCCCTGGCCTTACCTTCACCTGCGCTGGGCGCTCACCGGCTTGGAGGATGCCGGCGGGCAGCAGCCCCGCCGCGGAACCGCTCTCGGCGCCCTCTCCTTTGGCCATGTCCCGCGGGCCACGCCGCTTGGGACCGGGACGCCGGGATGCTCGTGTGCTCCTCCGGCCTCCGCGGCCCCTGGGCTCCGGTGGTGAGCAGCCGCGGCCACGGTCCACACACACACACTAAGAGAAGCCGGCCGGCAGAGCAGACAAGTACTCCCTGCACACCCCCTGAGCTCATTTAAAGGCTATGCTCCGCCTTCACATTTCTACACCAATCCCAGGAGCCAGTTGCCCGCCTCCAGCCAATCCTCTCTCCGGCTCCACCCGCCCTCTTCGGCGCCTGCCGCTGAGCCACGTTCCCCTAGGCATCCGGCTGCGCGCGTTAGTGCCCAACCTGGGGATGGCTGCTGTACCCACCTGACGCACGCGAGAGAACCGAGGCCCAAAGCTGAGAGGCACCTGCCCAAGGTCCTCCAGAGTGAGTTTCTCCCCTAGTCGAGCCTGCAGCTCTTAACTTCCGACTCCCCACCACTCCAGTCTCAGGAAAGGGGCGGGCGCGGGGTGGGGGAGGCTAGGAAGTCCGCAGTCCCCCAGTCCCCGGTAAACATCTGGAGACGCTTCTAGACTGTCCCCCAGAACCTGGGAGAGGCAAGCTGGCACTTTCCTTACCGATGTCCTTCTCGCATCCCCTTCTACACCCCCCACCTCCTCCAAAACTGGCCATTCCCTGTTTCCTCCTAGATCAGGGGAAAAAATGAGGCATCTCCGATGCTGCCGCAAGGAGCTCCCAAGTGGTGGAGAGGAATCAGGCCATAGCCTCCCGTCCAGGATGACAGTAGCGGCAGCCTTTTAAGGAGAGCTCCCTGGCCCATACTCAACATGACCTCACTGGGCCCTCACAGCAGGCTGTAAGAGGACAGTACCCATGTTCTCCTCATTTTACAGGCCAGGAGATGGAGAAGTGAAACAGCTGGCATGTGGCAAAGCCAAGCCGGGAAGGTTTTGTCCCATTCCAAAGCCTTTGGGCTGGGCAGCCCTGTTCTGTCACAAGAGGCGGGACCAGGCAGTGACATCTCCCCGAGACAAAGCCTCTCCCCCTGCTGATATGATCTGAGCTGACACAATCAAGGAAAAGGGCAGATTGCTGGAACAGAGACCAGGCACCAATGCCCAGGAAGATCGGTCTGTGTCCTTCCACCTCTGGGTCTCTGAGGTCAGAGACTCTTGAGGCTTCCTGGACACTGTGGAGGGCTGGCAGTGGCAGGTGGGTTTGCTTAATGAGGATGCTGCAGGGCCTTGCAGGGGTCTCTCATCTTTGTTCCCGTGAGCCTGTATGCCAGATCTTTTTCCTTTCTTCCCATCTCTAGTGATAGGGGAGAAAGATGAGATCTAGTTGACCCCAGGGTGGCCACTCAAAGCTCCCTCATGTGCCCTAGCAGATCCCTATCTGGGCATGCAGCTCTTGGTCGCTGCTGGGCAAAGGTTAGCCAAACCAGGCAGTTGAATAGCATGCTGTGAAGGGCAGAGCCTGGACCCCGGGACTCTGCCTGGAGCTGTGTGGCAGTGTTCTGCCTCTCACACTTTCTCCAGGCTTGGGCTGGCTCAGGTGGGCTCCTCTGTGACCCCATCCAGCCCTAAATTCCTCTCATTTCCATAGAGTCATGCTGTCTCCCAAGGGGTATGGTTCTCCCAAACCTGCACAGGCTTCGGGTAGATGGGAACCACATCTGGGTTTTGTTGTTGTTGTTGTTGTTTCCAATTCCGAATCCCCACTTTGCTGGCTTGGGACCTGAGCCAAAGTCGGAGATTAATGAATCCATGTTCAGTGAATGAATATTTGGTCTCCCTCAGGTAGAGGCATCAGAGACGCCCTTTGGGGAACACCCCAGGCACTGGCAGTGTGGCCTAGTTAACCTTCTTGTGTGTTTACCAGCATATTAACAGTACCTCCCTGAATAGGGTCCCCCCTTCCCCCCCACAGGCATGAAGAAAAAAAGTGCAGGGGAAGCATTTAGCACAAGTGCCTGGGAGCTGAGACCAGGCTGGTTCCCCTCCTTGGCCTGATTCCAGTCTGTCAGTGTAGCAACGCAAGATTCCAGATATGGCCTGACCAAGCCAGCACAATGGGCCTATTATTTCTCCCAGTTTGGACAGGACACATTGTTAATGCAGTCTAAGACTGCTGGGCTTCAGCGCTTTCTCTCCCATGATTAGTTCCCATCAGGTTATGGTCAACTAAATCATTCAGATTCTTTTCACCGGAGCTGGGGTCAAGTTAGGTCCCTTACCCCAGCCCCTGCTTTGTGTAATGTCTTGAAGCTACAACACAACAATGTCTAATGTCATCTGGCTCATTCCGGCCTGTTGAGATGGTTTTGAATGCCTGCTGTTTTCTCTCGCTGTAACTTTAAATCCAGCCTGTCCTTTGCAATGCCAACTCCACCGTCCATTTTATCTATCAGCCCCAAGCCCTGTGATGCGCCACTTTGTCCTCGTTGAACCGTATCAGGGTGCTGCTACTACAGCAATCGTTGAACATCCACTGTAAGCTGAGCAAAGTTTGCACTAAATGCTTTTCATATATCATCACATTCACTCCTGCCTTGTATTTTTTTTTACCCCCATTTTATAGATGAAAAGGCTGAGGCTAAAAGAAACAAAGCATGGTGTTCAATGTTATAAACTCCTTTTTCTGATGAACAGTATAGCAGTAGGCTTGTTACTGATTGGCGTCAGGTGTCTACTGATCAACCACAGCACCCTCTGCCCCCGCACCTCCCCCCCACTATCCTCCTGCCCACCTGCTTGCCCAAGCCAAGAGGCATTGCTGAGGTTTCAGACTATGGTGACAAGAGAGTAACTCTGCCAGTATTGTCCACCTTGGGCCTATCCTTTAGAGCAATGCTCTGTCTAGCTAGAGCATCGTGAGACCAAGGACTTGCACTGAAGGGGTAGTTAGCTCTCACTTATGAGGCGGAACCACCCTCCACCGTCTGTGACCCCTTCTGGGTCTAGCCTAGCCTCACCCTAGAGAATAAACAAACCTTAGAGCTCTTCTTCACTCTGTCCACCTCACTGTGCCCCTAGGGCACCCAGCCCAGCCTGGTAGACTTTTTCCTTTGCCGTCATCTACTCCTAGGATGGCCACTGAGGAGGCCACCAGGCCCTCTGAGCTTCCTGCCAGGCCTAGCAGTGAAATGTAAAGACCTCCCTACCTGCCCCTCCTAGCTGATTGCATAGCCTGTCACTACTAAGATAGTTTGTCCTTGGCAAGTACTGATTCTGTCTGAGCCTCAGGTCCCTACAGTCAAATGGGGGGAGGGGCAACATTGTGCCTGTCTACTAGGGTTGGCATGAGGATGAAGTGCTTGGCACACAGTGAGTTCTTGAGAAGATTATTGTTATGTTTGTTGTGCCTAGAATCCAAGGCCACTGGGATCAGAGGGGAGAAAATTTGCCAGTCAAAAGTTTGGGGCTAGCTTTGTGTGTGATCACTCATGGTGCTGTTTCCAAAGCAATGGGGTTGCTGCTGGGGCAGGATTATCAGGTAGAGCTGTTGGGATGTTGGTGCCGGGAAATCGTTGCTGAGTGAGTGTATTGCCAGAGTCAGTATTGTTAGGTGGGAAGATTTGAGGTCTCATCTAGTGATAACATTAAGGCTTTTGTAGAAAAGGAGGGACCAAGTCCAGGCCTTGGCACCTGCTGGGCAAAAAACAAATTTACATTTTGGCTTGTAGGGTACCAAGGGAATGGTCAAGTTAAAAAGGGAAGGGTTGGGTGGAGCCTGGAACGAGAGTTTTCCTGGAACAGCCACTATGATGGAGGATGCCTCACCTATTGCCATCTTGTATCTTTGTTTGCCCTGTGGGGAGGAAACAGGGCAAAAACAAAAAGTAAATAAAAATAATAGGATGGAGGGACTCTTGAAGGTCCCCAAAGAATCTCTGAGGGCCCTTGAGCTCACTAGAGGCTGCTCATTCCTCCCTGGATGTTGGTTGGGTAATTGTGAGGCAGAAAATGCTTCGAGGCTAACCCACCTGATCTGTAAGCTGTGGACCACTCCCCAGGGAGATCTCTGGTGGACAGAGCAGAGTGGTGGGTCTGACTGACTTCTGTGTCTTGGTTCTCAGGCAGAGTTATGGGACACAGAGAGTCCTTGAGACAGCTGCTACTGCCCCACCCCCGATGGCCAGAGTCCCAGCATCTTGGCAGCTTAGGCTTCACCAAGAGGTCAAGGTCCTCTGCAGGAGAGACAGCCACACTCTGGCAGGAAGGCACTGACTGCTAAAAGGTGAGAATGATAGCGTGCAAGAAATTGTGTGAGGTCAGCCTTGGCTCAAAGAGCCACGCTGTTCCAAGGTTGTAGAAGAGTTACACACACATACACACACACACACAAAAGGCACCGCAGGGTAGGACACAGCTGCCAGGTGGCCACAGGACCCATTAGGTCAGGTGAGGTACTCCTTGGGCAAGAGCCCGGTGCCTGGCCTCTGTGGAGAGGGTGGGGACAGATGCCTGAGCAATACCTCTCCATTCCTGGCTGGCCAGAATTCTGCCCTCCTCATGCTCACCCCATGTTCCTACAAGGAAGCTCTGCCTTGGCTTACTGGCTTCAAGCCTCTCAGAGTTGAAAGGGTCTTTCAGAGTAAGAGAGTTGCTGGTCTTGCGCCAGAGTACCAGTAGCAGAACCTGCCTTGGGCAACCTTGGAGTCCTGCCCCACTTTGGGCTTACTTTCACTCATCTGCATTAAAGAGCATGCTGGCCCACCTGTGCTACGTGATGCTGCTTCTGCTTCCACTCTGGCTGGACCAGGACCTCCGGCTTTGAGAGGCTGGCTTTAGACCTGCCGGCTTCAGACCTGCCTAGTAATGCTGTGATCTCAGACTGATTAAGAGTCACAGATAACAGGACAGCCAAGATTCTTCACGAGTCTGGGCTTGGAGTCAGGCTTCCAAATGTATTTATTTATTTTTAAAGATTTACATATTGGGCCCGGCACAATGGCGCAGTGGTTAAGGTCCTCGCCTTGCACGCCTGGGATCCCATATGGGCGCAGGTTCTAATCCTGGTGGCCCCACTTCCCTTTCAGCTCCCTGACTGTTGCCCGGGAAAGCAGCAGAGGACAGCCCAAAGCTTTGGGACCCTGCACCCGCGTGGGAGACCCGGAAGAGGCTCCTGGCTTCGGATCAGAATAGCAT